CAGGAGAACGTCAACGGCAATTACAAGTACGTGATGCTGGCTGCCAACAGTACCGTCAAGGGCCAAGCCGACTACAAGAAGTTCGAGAAGGCTCGCGAGCTCAACAAGCACATCGAGAAGATCCGAGCCGACTACACCGCCGAGCTCAAATCCGAGGTCATGGCCGATCGACAACGTGCCACCGCCATGTATCTCATTGACAAGTTTGCACTCAGAGCTGGCAATGAGAAGGACACGGAGAACGAGGCCGAGACAGTAGGCTGCTGTTCGCTCAAGTTCGAACACGTTACTCTCAGGGAGCCCAACACGGTCATTTTTGACTTTTTGGGTAAGGACAGCATTCGCTTCTACAACGAGTTCACGGTGGAACGGCAGGTCTTCAAGAACCTGAAGCTGTTCAAGAAGCCTCCAAAGGCGGATGGAGATGACATTTTTGACAGGCTCACTGTAAGTTGTTATTGTTTCTGAAAACGACCTGCAGTCAAGTTTACTAACGCACCTGGCAGACCTCTCAACTCAACAAGCATCTCTCCAGCTACATGCCCGGCCTTACAGCAAAGGTGTTCCGTACCTACAATGCCTCGTACACCATGTCCAAGCTTCTTCAGTCGCTCCCGGTCGAGAACATTACCGTGGCTGAGAAGATCAAGTTGTACAACGATTGCAACCGCGAGGTCGCCGTGCTTTGCAACCACAAGCGTACCGTTGGTGCGGCCCACGAGGCGCAGATGGAGAAGCTTGGAGACCGTATCAAGGGTCTAAGGTATCAAAAGTGGCGCACCAAGATGATGATGCTGGACCTCGACCCCAAGCTTAAGAAGAAGAAGGGCGCCGACTACTTTGCACTTGACGAGGACATCACCCAGGAGTGGGTCCTGAAGCATCAGCAGTTCCTTCTGGAGGAGCAGACGACCAAGATCCAGAAGAAATTCGACAAGGACAACGAGAAGCTCGCTGCCGAGGGCAAAAAGGTGATGAAGGACGAGGAGCTTAAGGAGCGACTCGAGGTGGTCAAGGAGCTTGAAGCCAAGTTCAAGAAGGAGAACAAGACCAAGAAGGTCGAGCCTGAGGGTAAAACGCCCACGGTCGACAAGCTTGAGGCAGCTGTCAACAAGTTTGATGAGCGTATCAAGACGCTCGAGCTGCAATGTGCAGATCGTGAGGGCAACAAGGAGGTTGCCCTGGGCACATCGAAGATCGTAAGTTTCCCCGCAGCGATGGCTTGCTCTCAACTCAAAACTAACATGCCACCCTCCAGAACTACATCGACCCTCGCCTCACAGTCGTCTTTGCCAAGAAGTTCAACGTTCCTATTGAGAAGTTCTTCTCCAAGACGCTACGCGACAAGTTCAAGTGGGCGATTGAGTCGGTCGGCGACGACGACACATGGGAGTTTTGAGCACACATACAGGATCAGCTCGTTTTATCTATTTAATGTTGTATACTATACCATCGCCAACCTTCGCCGCATGCCATCATTCACGATATTTACGCGTTGCATTCCAGACGATCACGGTTCGGCTACTCACATATAGGCCTCCAGCTTACTCTGACCTCGTTGCATTACAAAACTATCCCTGCAATCCCGGGGCGACTGGCGTTGATTATATGGGGTTAAAATGGAGTTCGGGCAGAGGAGATGAAAAAAGAGAGGTGAAAAGGAGAGGTGGAAAAGGGATGATGGGATGGTCTATCAGTGATCCCAAGGAGTAAAACAACACAAACAGTTAGCCTGAAGAAGCGTTGAGTTATGCTATGATGCAGTGATTTCAATGCCGAGTGAATGTGTCTCCTTGCTCCAGTATCTGGAATTCCGTGAAGTCATGGGATGGGAACTTGGTATAAAACAAACCAAAACATCATGATCAAACTGAAGAGATGGCACCTGAACGTGGATGACATAAACAGGGGGGGGCCTGCTGACAGTCTGGAGGTTTCATTCTTTTATATCTGTATGACATCAATTGTTCTCGATTACCAGCAAAAGATTCCAGTCGTGGGGTTCTTCGTACATAGTGTACCGAGATCTTGTTCCTTCAACCGACCGTTGGGCGATTGATTGCATAATGTGGGTCCCGACCTCGTTTTTGACGTTGCGCCAAGACCTTTTAAGCACAACCAGCCACCTGCTCACCTGCTGTACGGCGCAAAGAAAGTTGGCGCTGCGCCGAGTTTTTGTCAGATCCACATTCCCAACCTCCTCTGAAAACATTGAATGCATGGTCCGAGAAAAGACGGACGCGCTCCGCCGCAATCCCTGCCGAGCTGGGCCCCTGGGGAAGGGGGAACTGATGACGACAATTGGGGGAGGTGTAAGGTGGTTGGGATGATGGGTTTGTTGGTGGGGGGGGAGCTGGATAAAACCGAGGGAGTGGACGGCGCATACTACAAGCTTGCACTCAGTGTGTTGCTCTCTCTTCCCGGCTTTTTGTTTGTGTGTGTATTGTGTGTGTGAGAGAGACAAGTTTCAATATCGAAGAGATAAATTTCTATAATTTCATTGTTTGACGGGGACTCGACCATTTGCAACCCTCTTTGTGTCTCGGATTCGATTTCGCGAGTAATATCCTCGGTTTATCTCATCCCTTACATTTTTGACGACCATCTTCTGGCGAGATAACGAAAGAAAGATGCTGTTCTCCCGACGATGGAAGACAGCAGCAGCAGCAGCTTCGGCTGCGCTGGCCACCGGGGTTTTATCACAGACTTGGTCGGATTGTAACCCATTACACAGTAAGTTTACTTCCACTACCTTTGCCCATCAACCAATCTCTAACATTATCTCTCTCTCCCCCCCATAGCCACCTGCCCCGCCAACACAGCCCTAGGCATGACAATCAACGTCAACTTCCGCCTCGGCTCCGTCGACTCCTTCATCCCCTCGGGCGGCACCCCCTCCTACTCCCCCTCCGACGGCGTCTCCTTCACCGTCTCCCGCCCCGGCGAGGCCCCCCAGCTCACCTCCCTCTTCTACATCATGTTCGGCCGCGTCGAGGTGACGATGAAGGCCGCCCCCGGCGCCGGCATCGTCTCCTCTCTGGTCTTGCTCTCCGACACCCTCGACGAGATAGACTTTGAGTGGCTCGGCGCCGACGACAGCGAGGTGCAGACAAACTACTTCTCCAAGGGCCAGACGACCACCTACAACAGGGGGCAGTTCAACCCCGCCCCCAACAACCAGCAAGAGTTCATCACCTACACCATCGACTGGACCCCCCAGCGGATCGAGTGGCACGTGGGCGGGACGCTGGTCCGGACGCTGGGCTACGACGAGGCGGCGGGGCAGTACCCCCAGACGCCGATGCAGGTCAAGTTCGGGGCCTGGTCCGGGGGGGACGCCTCCACCAACCCGCCCGGCACGGTCGAGTGGGCCAGGGGCCCGACGGATTACTCCCGCGGGCCGTTCAGCATGGTGGTGAGGAGCGCGGTGGTGACGGATTACTCCACGGGCAAGAGCTACACCTACGGGGACAACAGCGGGACGTGGCAGAGCATCCGGTCGGAGGGGGGCAAGATTTACGGGAATAGCGGCGGGGCGGGGGGGATCACGGTCACGGCGAGCGCGGCGCCGGTGGCGACGGATGTGAGCCCTACCGTGCCGGTGGGGGGGATTGGGCAGGGGGACACGGCCACGCAGACGGGGTGGCCGTGGGAGGCCACGGGGACGGACGGGAGGGGGGGCCAGGGGGCGATTCCGGAGGGGTGGAGGATCACGCCGGATGGGAAGCTGAGGCCTATTGGGGGTAGCACTGTGAGTGAGTAACGTTCTTTGCCCCCCCCTGAAAAGGAAGAAAAAAACAAAAAAAAAAAAAGAGTTGAGGAGGGCTCGGATTGAGTTTGGTTCTTGACCTTTGGGAGAGGATGAAAAAAGCTAACGGTTTGTGATGGTTAGACACCCCCAATCCCGTGCTCTTGCTTGGGCCATTCTTCCTCGTCGTCGCCACCATCGGGTGTGGACGGTGGAACTTTTTCTGAGTCTCGGTCTGAGACTGTCTTGACGACGACGACTTTTGCGACGTTTGCTACCGAGACGAGCGCTGCGAGTTCTGGTGCTGGGGGTGGATCAAATTCCGGGGACGCACCGCCTCCAGAACCACTGGGAGCACCGCCGCAGAACGAGGCTGGGAAGAAGCTGATGCCTTTGATGATGGCGCCAATGGTGCTGGGCGCTGGTGTTTTGTTGCTTTGAACATTTGCTCTTTTCTTTTCTTGTATTTGGGACTGGAGCACTGAGCGGGTTTGGCCTTTTTTTTTTCTTTTTTTTTTGTTTTTTTTTTTTTTGCATTTTGGGCATGGCGTTTGGGCAAAGGGAAACATACCATAGGTGGGGAATTACATATTCTTTTGCTGCGATAGACCTCTGGGGGATTGTAGATAAGTAGACATTTCACTCGAGTGAAGGACATAATATGCATAATCATTATTGAACAGACTTGATGTTGCAAGTGCTTGTGTGCAGCATATCGGCGACGGTTGTTTCTTTCTTGACAGCAACAGCCAACAACAGCCAGCAACCCGAAATACCACACACACATCTCATACCTAAACGGGTGGGGTAGAATAGATAGAATGTGTTGTACATTTTCTGTCTTATACTTGCTCCTAACATGTTGATTTGGTGACTGTTGCATAAGGCAACAACCATGCTACCTAGCCACTTCGACTTGTGTACACACGCACCCATCCACGAACCCATCCACGAACCTGATTCACACATACTCTTTATTAGTACGGAGCCTTTCATACTCCGTAGATCATACCTACCGACCCACTATCCAAGTAACCCTCAAATGTTTTTTCTGCCGTCTGCAAAAAAAACAAGCCAACTAACCAACCCCTTTTCAACCCCCCTATCTGTACCTACCTACCACCCTTCCAACCACCCTTCCAACAACACCTCCTCCAACCTGCCAAAAAACCTAAATCCCCCCCCCCCCCTTTTCATCCCCTAAAGATCACAGTGTTGGCCAAAAAAAACCAAAAAAAAACACAAGAACAAGGGGGCCAACCCGGGTATTGAACCCGGGACCTCTCGCAAACTTTTTGTTTCCTCTCCCACACCACCCAAAGGCAGAGAGGCTCAATCGTAAACAAACTCAGGGTGGGTGGACCCTAAGCGAGAATCATACCACTAGACCAGCGGCCCCTTTTTTTCTTTCTTTTTCCCCCCAAATCCAACTCAGTTTGAATTATATTCCTCCCCCAACCCCCCCCCCCCTTTCCCCACCCCCCCCTCCGCGAACAAAAACTCATAAAATGATTGCCCTCTTCCCCCTTGACACCAACCACTAACTAAACACTTAAGGCCACGGTAAAAAGTCAAGCGTTACTACTTGTCTCGGTTCGGGCAAAAAAAAAAGGTTTGATAACAAGTTTCATCCTCAAGACACTCCCTAGCAAAAAGGAACCACGTCGAGTCAAAAGCACAAACACTACCTAGTCAAGCAAAGGGGGTTACGAGGAGGTTGGTTAGACACAAATCACAATAGACATCCCGCCGCTGTTCTTCTTGATCGTCATCCCATTCACATCTTTTCTACTCTCTCTTAGTAAAAAGTGTTGAACTTTCCTTTTCCTTTCCCTTTTCCATTTCCCATCTCTTTTTACATACAATCAAAACCCCTACCCGCCTTCCTAATCCCACCCACCCTGTTGTCCTATAAACCCGCCATATCCCATTTACATTGTATTTATTCTTTCATTTTTCACACATCAAAACCAGACAACAAATCCTGTTTGTAGTCCGGGGGTATCGTCATTATTTATTTTCTCGTCTTGTTTTCTTTTTTACTTTATTGTCATCATCACGCTCTTAGTGGTGGAACAAACGAATGTTCTGCTCCACAAAGGTGATGCCCAACTTCTCGGCCGTGTCGAACACGGGGATGTCGTTTTGGCTGCCGAGGGGAGCGGCGATGTACTTGACGCCCGAGCGGGAGGCGCGGTAGACGTTGTCGGTGAAGGGGAACTGTTTTGATAACGATTAGCACCTGATTTAAAAACACAAGAACGGCAATCAAAACGTACGAAAGCATCACTGGAGACAACGACATCGGTAAGCTTGCCGAGCCACTCGGTCTTCTCCTCCTCAGTGAAGGGAGCAGGGACCTCGTCGAAGAAGCCCTCAAAGGCCTCACGCTCAGGGCCGGACTTGGGGACCTGGCCGCTGACGAGAAGGTCAATGGCGTTGCTCTTGTCGGGGCGCTTGGTGCCCTTCTTCCACTTGATGCCCAGGACACGGGGGTGGAAGCGGAGCCACCAGTTGTCGGCCTTGTCACCGGCCAGACGGGTGCAGTGGATTCTGGACTGCTGGCCAGCGCCGAGGCCAACAACCTGGCCCCTGGCAGCGTAGCAGACAGAGTTGCTCTGGGTGTACTTGAGGGCAATGGTAGCCACGGTCAAGTCGCGCTGGGCGGTCTCGGAGAGGGGACCGGCGTTCTTGGGGGTGATGATGTTGCGGAAGGTCTCGGGGGAGATCTCGACGTCGTTGCGGCCCTGGGCGAGGGTGATGCCGTAGACGGTTCTGGTCTCGGCCTTGGAGGGCTCGAACTCGGGGTCCATCTGGAGGACGAGGTACTTGCCGCCCTTCTTCTTCTTGAGGATCTCAAGAGCAGCGGGCTCGTATCCGGGGGCGATAACACCGTCGGAAACCTCCTTGGAGATGATGCTGGCGGTGGGGACATCGACAATGTCGGAAAGAGCAATCATGTCGCCGAAGCTGCTCATGCGGTCGGCACCTCTGGCGCGGGCATAAGCCTGGGCGAGGCCGGAGGTCTCAATGCCGGGGATATCGTCGACCATGTAGACCTTGCGCTCCTCGGCGGTCAGGGGCTCGCCAATGGCAGCACCGGCGGGAGAGACGTGCTTGAAGCTGGCGGCAGCGGGCTTGCCGAGAGCCTTCTTGAGCTCCTTGACCAAAGGCCAGCTGTTGAGGGCATCGAGAAGGTTGATGTAGCCGGGGGCACCGCCGAGGACCTTGAAGGGAAGCTCACCCTCCTTGACGTAGGCGGAGGCGGGCTTCTGGTGAGGGTTGGCGCCGTAGCGGAGGGGGAGGTACTGGAGGCCGGTGGCATACTGCTTGCGGAAGAACTCGGAGATGGCGGCATCGTAGTCGGCAGTGTGCTCGAAAGCCTTGAGCGCATAGAGCTTTCTGGTCTCCTCCTTGACCTCGCCGGCCTCGAGCTCTCGGAGGAACTCGGCATAGTCCTTGGGGTCGCTGAGGATGGTGACACGAGAGTGGTTCTTGGCCGCAGCGCGGATCAGAGTAACACCGCCGATATCGATCTCCTCGACCGCCTCGGGAACGGTGACATTGATCTTGGCAACGGTGTCCTTGAAGGGGTACAGGTTGCAGATGACATAGTCGACCTTGTCAATGTTTTGCTCGGCAAGGTCCTTCTCGTCCGAACCGAGGTTGCGGGCCAGGATGCCGGCGTGAACGGCGGGGTGGAGGGTCTTGACACGGCCACCGAGCATCTCAGGGGCCTTGGTGATGGCAGAGATGTCCCTGTACGAGGGCAAGACATACTATCAGTAACCTTCCTCCTAATAATGACTCACCCACGAAGCCGAAGCTGGGTGACCGATCTCGAAGGACAAGAAGGTAAGGGAGCACTCACTCAACAGGGAAACCAGACTCCCTGATCATCTTGGAAGTGCCGCCCGAGGCGAGGATGCGCACATTGTTCTGGACAAGGCCCTTGGCCAGGTCCAACAGTCCCGTCTTGTCATAGACAGAGACAATGGCAATTCTTTGGGAGTCGGCCATGGTGACTAGAGTGTAATGTTGCGCGGGGCAATCTGTAAGTCGGGTAAGAAACCAAAAGGTTTGTAGAGTCAGTCAAAACTGTTTCTTTTTCTGATCATGTATGACGTGACATGTGTCACTCTCTTCCACCACCCAAAGAAAAAGGAGCGCAAAGCTTACCAGTTTGTATTTTCTCTACCACTCTCTTGATGTTACAAAGAAACAGAAGAAGAAGAAGAAGAAGAAGAAGAAGAAAAAAAAGAGTCAATCACACCATGCAGTCTCGCCTCGTCTGGAGGGGTCTAATAATATTTTTTTGCGACACCCTCCCCCCTCCCCTTCCGTCACTCCCCTATCAAACGCTAATGGAGGGGTAGCTACGGGGTGCAATCTGCCCCACGATTCGCCGTGATCGGGCATGTCCCCACAGCTGAAGCAACGGGAGTGCATCCACTAGACTTACCTAATTGCCGGCCTAGTCTCCATCCGACTGTGGGCTGGTATAAAAATCTCTTGCTGTGCCATTTTCCACATGGCGTGTCTCTTTCATCTTCAGCCTGTTTTGGTGGTGATATCTTGCCACCAATACATCTGTCTATCGATATGGAGTTGGGCTGTGGATGATAGGTACCTAGCTTCAGGAAGCTCTTCAATTGATCAACCTCAATTGAAGCTTCCTTCCCTGTTGTTTGGGAGCTGGAGCAACCTACCCACTGCCCGACGGCCAGCCAACACTCTGCAAGCGGACCGACGCGCAGCTGTGTTGACTGTCAACAGTCCACGCGCCTGGTCAGAGAGGCCCTTCATATACCAATGCTCTGGAGCAAGCTTTCGCCCTTCGGGGCATTTGGTCAATTTGTAAGTTTAGCTCACTGGTCTGCTTCTGACTTTGCAAATAAACTAACATCCCCTCCAGGAAACGATACAGAGAAGATTAGCATGGCCCCTGCACTAAGGATGACACGCTACTCAAAGAGATGCTAAACAATTTTTTTGGCATTTTTATGTCTCCGATATGTTCAGCAATCGCCTCAAGATTCCCTTTCAGAGGCCAGGTACGTGGTTGACGTGGAGGAGGTCAAGCGTTCGACTCCCGCCTGGGTCGTCCTGCTTTCGCTTTTTTCCCCCCCCCAAGTTCAACTTTTGCTCCCAGTGATTTCAACACCACGGCATTAGTGTGTACAGCTCTGAGCAACTTCCCGTACTCTTTTAGCTGAAGGATAATTCTTCGTGCCAAGAAAAAAACCCCATGCCTTGCTATTACCAAACACCTCTGTTCTTTTCCACATAGACTCAAGGTGCATGAAAGCCGGGCAACATCCCCATTCTTCTTCAAATAGGATCTTGCTATTTAGCATCATCAGAAAAATACAAAAGAATACCCAGAACTGCATCAACCAACGCCTCCCAAATGCCTTGTTATTTTATTCCATGAAAACTTGATTTCCACAAACGCCCTCACAAATATCCAAAGAGAAACCACCACCTTTCCCCACGCATTGGATCAAGCTCAATCCTGATACAACCGTCCCAGCAACCCCTTCTCCCCCACCCCCCTCTTCTCCTCATCCTCCGCAATCTTCAAAATCAGCTCCCCAAACAAGCCATTGGCCCAGCCGAACCAGCTCCTCGTAAAGTCAAACTCGCGCCACGCGTTCACCGTCTCATGAATGACACCAGCCCCCGAAGTCGAGTTGAGCACCATCAGCATCTGCTCCCCAACCACCTTCTCCCTCTCCTCATCCGAAAACCCAGAAAGATCCTCAAACGCCGTCAGCGCAGCCACCGTGGCCGCCATCGGCCACCCCTTTCCAGGCCCAAGATGAGGACCACCGACAGCCGAAAGCGCAGGGCCCTTGGCATAATACGGATTGGCCATGCTCAGGACAAACTTCCTCGTGTTTTGATAAATCTTGGCGTAGTCGTGCTTGGCTTCCTCGCCCTTGTCCTTCTCGGCAGAGTTCTTCTCGATCGTGCCGTTGCGCGCCCCGAGGTTCTTGTTGACCGACTTGACCATGCGGGAGGTCGTCGAGTCGGCCTTGGTGTTGGTGTAATTCCACAAGGGAAAGGCCAGGAGGGACGGGACGTTGGCATCATCCATCAAGTTGGCACCGCCATAGCCATCGACTTCGTACGCAAAGATCTCGCCAAAGTCTCGGTGCTGCACAACGGCGTCTTTGGCAATACCGTGGCGGATCGTCTTGGCCAGCTTGCGCATCTCCGTCGTAAGGTTGGCGGCCTTTGGGTTGAGTTTCTGGTCGGCAAGACCCTCCATGATCACCGACGCCTGCTCGAGGTACGCTGCGAACATCATGTTGCTGGGGGTCAAGAGCTGGAAAATGCAGGCGTCATCGCTGGGCCTGAAGGCAGATCGAACCATGCCGTTCTCCTTGACGGGG